CCAGCTACTTTGGAGGCTGAGGCAAGAGAATCGCTTAAGCCCAAGAGTTGGAGGTTGCTGTGAGCTGTGATGCCACAGCACTCTACTGAGGGTGAAATAGTGAGACTCTGTCTCAAAGAAAAAAAAAAAGTGGGGTGGGTGTGAGGAAATCACTTTGCAACAACCAGTCTCATTACTAAACATTCCTGGCAGGAGCCTTTATGCTTTCCCCATGCTGGGGCATAATGTTCCTGGTAAGTACCAAGAGAAGAGTGTTATACCAGCCAGGCACACAGTTTTACCATCTGTAATGTGTGGAAAGTTTCAGTATCATTAAAGATATAGTTAAAATCAATTCTTATTTTTCTATTTTAGTAGAAACAATGTAACTTGCAACAGCCTTTAATTAAAAAAAAACAAAAAACTTATCCTTCATTTTCCAATGAACCAGGTAGTTGTCCTCCCTCATGTGGATTTTAAGTTTTTTTTAAGAGAGAGGGTCACATTGTCACCCACGTTAGAGTGCAGTGGCCCAATCATAGCTCACTGCAACTGTAAACACCTGGGCTCAAGCAATCCTCCCACCTCAGCCTTCTGAGTAGCTGGGAATATAGGCATACCACCTTGCCCAGCTTTGTTCTCTTTTTTTTTTTAGACAGAGTCTCACTATGTTCCCCTCTGTAGAGTTCTACAGGATCACAGCTCACAGCAACTTCAAACTCTTGTGCTTAAGTGATTCTCTTGCTTCAGCTTCCCAAGTGGTTAGGACTATAGGCACCTGTCACAATGCCGAGCTATTTTTTGTTGCAGTTGTCATTGTTGTTTAGCTGGCCCAGGCTGGGTTTGAACCCACCAGTCTCAGTGTATATGGCTGGCACCATAACCACTGTGCTACAGGCGCTGAGCCAGTTTTCTCAGGCAATCCTGCCTTGGCCTCCCAAAGTGCTGGGATTTGGTTTTCTTTTTAAATTCCAAGAAATGTCCAAGTAAAATCTAGTTCTTTGCTCTCTCTTCTCTTCTCCCCCGCTCTCTCTCCGCCTCACTCTCCTCTTCACGTCTCCTCTTTTCTTTCCCCTTTTCTTTCCTCCTTGGTGCTGCTCTGCAGCCTCCCTCCCCCACCAATAAAGACCTTTCGTACCAAAAAAAAAAAAAAAATCTAGTTCTTTGAATGTGCTGGGGGGTGGTGGTGGTTTTCTTTTGGGATTGGGACATTACCTCTTTTCTTGCCTGCTTGATGTCTCCCTCATCCTTGATGCCCAGTCCTGAGATAGATGCCTTCTCAGCTTCCATTCTGCTTCCCCCAGCCCGGCCCTCCCCGCCTTCACTAGTCTTGAAAGATGAACGGCTATCAGAGTCAGCAAAACCACCTTCAGTGATGCTATTGCAGCTTAACCATGAGGCTACTTTGTTCTTGGATGTCTCTTCAGAGGAAGGTGGATTGCAGCCACCTACAGGGATTGATGGAGTGACAGGAACATGTGGGGGCCCAAGGTCTGGAGGGCGGGAGTCTTTGGAAGCTGTTTCAGACAGTCCATTCTCCTTCTGGCCCCGGGTCTGCCTCCGAGTGGCATAGCTCCGCCACACTGAGCTGGTGCTAAAGTCCTCATCCTTACAGAAATTATCGTCTGAGCTATCATCGTTGGACTCTTCGGGGTCCTCTGTACCGCTATTGCCATCTTCCTGGTCCTTCAAATCTACACCACTGCTGTCAGAGGAACAGGGGGCATCACTCTCATATCCTTCCTTGAAGTTCTCCACACTCTCGATATGGTCTAGATTTGCAAAGTACTCATCACCCATTTCCAGACCCTCCTTGTCTGCAAAGTCATCTGTCAGGATTTTGCCTGAGAATGAAGAGAATTAAAGGCTTTTTAGGGTTATGGGGGCCACTTAGAAAGAATCCAGGCCATTGCATCAATACCCAGTCTACCAACACACAGAGTCAGGACATTTCTGTTCTGTATTGTCATTTCTCTTTGATGATACCTCCTTTGTGTATTTTGTCCCCCCCCCCTTTTTTTTTCTCAGAAAGAGGCTTGCTCTGTTGCCCAGGATAGAGTGCCATGACATCACAGCTCAATGCAACCTCTAACTCCTAGGTTCAAGTGATCCTCCTGCCTCAGCCTCTTGAGTAGCTGGTGTCCATCATGATGCCTGGCTTATTTTTCTGTTTTTAGTAGAGACAGGTCTCACTCTTGCTTAGGCTCATCTTGAACTCCTGAGCTCAAGCAATCCTCCCACTTTGGCCTCCCAGGGTGCTAGGATTATAGGTTTGAGCCACTGTGCTTGGCCTAAGCACTTTATTTATTTATTGTTTTTTTTTTTTTTTGAGATAGAGTCTTACTTTGTCATGCTTGGTAGAGTGCTGTCATAGCTCACAGCAACCTCAAACTCTTGGGCTCAAGCAATTTCCCTATCTCAGCCTCCCAAGTAGCTGGGACTACCGGCACCTGCCACAATGTCTGGCTATTATTAGAGACAAGGTCTTCCTCTGGTCCTGAACTCCTGAGCTCAGGCACTCCACCTCCCTTGGCCTCCCAGAATGCTAGGATTACAGGTGTGAGACACTGTGCCTGTCTATTTATTCTTATGTGCAACTTGCTTCTGGTTCAATTCCCCACCATGTCCTAACCCCAGAAAGCAACCTGTATATTTCATCACTAACCTGCATAAATACAGACAAAAGAGCCTTTGGCAATATCATCCAAACAGCGTATACCCCAGCCCTTGTTTTGTGTCTTGAAGAGCTGTAACCGAACCTGTAGACCATGTTGTACCAATCGATTTGTGCACATGCTTGGGTTACATTGGCAGCGTTTGTTACACTCATATACTCTAAGAGGAAGGAAAAATAAAATCTATTACAACATGACCAATAAAGCATAGGAAAATTCATAAAACTATCTTAATTCTTGGGCGGTACCTGTGGCTCAAAAGGGTAGGGCACTGGCCCCATATGCCAGAGGTGGCGGGTTCAAACCCAGCCCTGGCCAAAAACTGCAAAAACAAAAACAAAAACAAACAAACAAAAAAACTATCTTAATTCTTAAGCTATCATCATTTATAATGTCTTGTGGATAAAGATTAAAAATTAGGCAATGTCTTTGTTAGTACAGTGGTCAAAAAAAGAATTAAAAAAAAAGTAAAAAAAAATTAGGTAATGATCTGAGTGATTTATTGAACTGTCTATGGTCTTTGATGCATGAAGAAATAATTCGGAAGGGAGGAAAATGACTTTGAAGATGTTAATAGCCACACAGTTTATTACAGTGAACACCAGAATGCTTCTCATTTGCAGAAAAGTGATGGGAGTACAGATTACACAGCCACTAAAATAAGTACTCGATAGACAATGTTAATGTGTAGAAACAGATGCATAAAATAAAGACATGGGAGAAAAACAGAAGCTAATATAACTGAGACTGAAAGGGAGTAAATGGATAAAAGAGGTAGGAGAAACTGGGACGAATGTTCATGGAATTCCACTTTGTGGTAAGATTGATTTTTAGTCTTTCAGTAAATACATATTAAACACCAAGAATCCTACTAGACACAAGAAATATAACAATGAAAAAAGTCAGTCATTTTTCTTTTTTTTGAGACAGTGTTTCACTATGTTGCCCTCAGTAGAGTGTGCTGTAGCATCACAGCTCATAGCAACCTCAAACTTTTGGGCTTAAGTGATTCTCTTGCCTCAGCCTCCCAAGAAGCTGGGACTACAGACTTGGGTATTTTTTATGGCAGTTGCCATTGTTGTTTAGCTGGCCTGGGCTGGGTTCAAACCTACTATCCTCTGTGGATGTGCCATGGGCACCAAGCCAAAAAAAAGGTCATAGTCTTTACCATGAAGAAGCTCATATTCTGGGCAGCACCTTTGGCTCAGGGAGAGGACACCGGCACCATATGCTGGAGGTGGTGGGTTCAAACCCAGCCCCGGCCAAAAAAAAAGGAGCTCACATTCTAAGAATTTATATATTTTTTCTTTTGAGACAGTCTCAAGCTGTCACCCTAGGTGGAGTGCCATGGCATTATAACTCACAGCAACCTCCAACTCTTGGGCTCAAGTGATCCTCCTGCCTCAGTTTTTCTATTTTTAATGAAGATGGGATCTTGCTTTTACTCAAGCTGGTCTCAAACCCATGAGCTCAAGCTATCCACCCACCTGGGCCTCCCAGAGTCCTAGGATTACAGGTGTGAGCCACCGTGTCCACCTTCTATCAATTTAACAATTATAGCAGAAGCTGGGTGCAGTGGCCCATGCCTGTAATCCTAGCACTCTGGGAGGTCAAGGTGGGCAGACTGCCTGAGCTCACAGGCTCAAGACCAGCCTGAACAAGAGCAAGACCCTCTCTAAAAAACAGCCAGGTGGCTCAGCACCTGTAGCTCAGCAGCTAGGGCACCAGCCACATATACTGGGGCTGGCAGGTTTGAACCCAGCTTGGGCCTGACAAGAAACAATGACAACTACAATCAGAAAACAGCCAGGGCTCGGCGCTTCTGACTCCAGAGGCTAAGGCGCTGGCCACATACACCTAAGCTGGCCGGTTCCAATCCAGTCTGGGCCTGCCAAACAACAATGGCTGCAACCAAAAAATAGCCGGGCACCGTAACAGGCACCTGTAATCCCAGCTACTTGGGAGGCAGAGGCAGGAAAATCGTTTGAGCCCAGGAGTTGGAGGTTGCTGTGAGTTGTGATGCTACAGCACTCTACCCAGAGTGACAGCTTGAGGCTCTGTCTCAAAAAAAAAAAACAAGCCAGGTATTATGGCAGGTGCGTGTTGTCCCAGCTACTTGGGAGGCTGGGGCAAGAGAATCACTTAAGCCCAAGAGTTTGAGGTTGCTGTGAGCTGTGACAGCATAGTACTCTACTGAGGGAAACAAAGTGAGACTGTCCGAAAAAAATTCCCCCCAAACAAAAAACAAATTACAGTAGAACCTCTGTACCACCCAAGGGATTTTTTTTTTTTGAGACAGAGCCTCAAGCTGTCCCCCTGGGTAGAGTGCCGTGGCATTACAGCTCACAGCAACCTCCAACTCCTGGGCTCAAACGAGTCTCCTGCCTCCGCCTCCCAAGTAGCTGGGACCACAGGCGCCCGCCGGCTATTTTTTTTTTTTTGGTTGCAGCCGTCATTGTTGTTTGGCGGGTCCCGGCTGGGGATTCGAACCCACCACCTTAGGTGTACGTGGCTGGTGCCTTAGCCGGTTGAGCTATAGGCGCCGAGCCCCAAAGGATTGTAATAAAGTGGTTAATATACAGAGGTGGTCAATATAAGGAACTAGGACGGCTTGGTGCCTGTAGCTTAGCGACCAGGGCGCGGGCCATATACAGCAGGGCTGATGATAATCAGCCGGACGTTGTGGCCGGCACCTGTAGTCCCAGCTACTTGGGAGGGTGAGGCTAGAAAATTGCTTAAACCCAAGAGTTTGAAGTTGCTGTGAGCTGTGACGCCAGGGCATTCTACCGAGGGCAACACATTGAGACTCTGTCTCAAAACAAACAAACAAACAAACAAACAAACAAAAATACCCCATAAGGAACTAGGCCTGTTGTACTGATACGTACATGTAGTCCATGTCCGTTTGATGGAAGGTCCATAGTACTTTGTGTTTGTCACTCTATAAATGCCTTATATTCTAATACTCTATAATTGCATTTGCATATTCTATCCTCAAAATAACCCTATAAAGCATCAGATTGAGAAATAACTTTGGGGCGGGTGCAGTGGCGCAGTCTGTAATCTTAGCACTCTGGGAGGCTGAGGTGAACAGAAAAGTTCAAGAACAGCCTGAGCAGAAGTAAGACCCCCATCTCTACCAAAATTAGAAAAACTAGCCAGATGTCACGGCACATTGCCTGTAGTCCAGCTACTTGGGAGGCTGAGGCAGGAGTTGAATCCAGGAGTTTGTGGCTGTAGAGAGCTGTAATGATACCGCTGTACTCTACTGGGGCAATAGAATGAGACTATGCCTTAAAATTAAAAAAAAAAAAAAAAAAAGAAAGAAACTTTGTTAGGTCCTTTGAAACCACACACGGATGGGGGGAATTTTTTTTTTTCTGGGGGGGGGGGTTGCAGTTTTTGGCCAGGGCTGGGTTTTAACCCACCACCTCTGGCATATGGGGCTGGTGCCCTACTCCTTTGAGCTATAGGCCCCTCCCAGGGGGGAAATGTTTATGTTCATATCCTCTATTTACAGCTGATGAAACAGGATCAACTTGGTAGGGACAGAGCTATAATTTCAATTTAGGTCTAATCACTCCTTTACAGCAGCTATACTGAGTATTCACTCATTCCACAGAATTTGTTTACCCAGCCACTGGTTATATTAACTGCTGTTTTTTTTTTCTTGTAGTGAGTAATACCAATTTTATTTACATAGTACACCATCAGTGCTGAATGTCAGTGTTTCAAACATTGTCCAACACCTATGGAAAAAGTAAGAGACAGGTAATAGCCTGGTGGACGTCTACGAAGTCCCAGAGGCACCTGGCTTGCCAACAGCTAGGTGCCACCTCCCCCAACTGCTAATTGTTAATATGATGGCGAGCAAGACAAATAGACAAGGTCCCCGCCCTCATGGAATGTACATTCTAATGGAAAAGATAGAAAAAAAGTAAATCAACAGATAAAGTTGTCATAAATGCTATAAAGAACATAACGCGATACTGGATCTGAGAATTAAGGGAGTAAAAATGACCTAGTTTCACAGTGACAAGGGAAGGTATCTGAGGAGGTGAGATCAAAGCTGAGGGAGCTCAAGGTTAGAAAAGGCAGCCACACAAGGAAAAGTACAGGGATACCAGAAGGGACAGTGTGTACAAGACCCCAGAGGTAGGACTGGAAGGTACTGGGTCAACCCAATCCAGGAACTGAAAATATCAGTGTGGCTGGAACAACTTTGGAGGGAGAGAGATGGCAGGGGGCCAAAGAGTACAGTATTTTATAACCCAAAGTTAAGACTTAGAATAAAATATAAGGTCCAGTGGAAAGGTATTGAAGAGTTTTAAGCAGGGGAATGACATATTATTTGTTGTTACTTGAAAATATTTTAGGGCGGTGCCTGTGGCTCAAGGAGTAGGGTGCTGGCCCCATATACTGGAGGTGGCAGGTTCAAACTTGGCCCTGGCCAAAAACTGCAAGTAAATAAATAACATTAAAAAAAAATTTTTAATCAAACACTTCAAACATGTAAAAAAATATACATAACATCAACTCATGTACTACTTGGTCAGGCAGTGGTGGGGAACCTGTGGCCTTATGGATCTTTGATTGTGACCCTTTGACTGGATCCAATTATATAAAATAAATCCCTATGAAGTTCGGATTTGGTTGAAGGGCTGCACTTGGGAATTTGGAGGGCCACATGTGGTTTTGAAGTTCCACGTTCCCCACCCCTACGGGCTCCCTAGTAGTCTTAGTCTTCTCTTAAGATATTCGGACAGGCTCGGCGCCTATAGCTCAACAGGCTAAGGCGCCAGCCACGTACACCTAAGGTGGCGGGTTCGAATCCCCAGCCCGGACCCGCCAAACAACAATGACGG